GAAATAAGAACGCAGTGATTGCCTTTATATTAACAATGTAAACACACTTGCAGGCGTGCGCAGATGAAGCGTCAAAACCAAAGCTCTCGTAGCGCGATCCGTGACTGCGCCGGCTACTACCCAACCTCGTTATCACGCCACTTTCTGCAAGTGACACCGATACAATTATCTTGTAGAATATCACTGTGTCAATAGGCACCGCATGTTGTACTTAAGTTAAGAAAAAAAACATAAATCCTCTTTTTTTTTTTTGTCAGGAAAACTAAATATCAACGTTAAATTAAGTCTGGTAACAGTGTAGTTTTGCTGAATCCTTAGAAAAGTACGGCAAAAGTTCGGCTGCGCCAAATCCCAAGATTTGGTGTCGAATTTTCGATTCGGCAAAGTTTGGCCCACTATTAGTAAAAATGTGCGAACCGGGGGGGAGGGGGGTCTGGTTTGCCCTTCCACTCAAAAACAAGTTGGTACGCCACTGCCCACACCTGGTGTGGGCATGACGCTCACCTCTTTGAATGTGCAAGAATATGTATGGTGAATACTATGGTGGATACTATATATGATACGAAATCCTGCTCACCATGGCATCAGAGCCGTATAACTCCAACGACGTAGGGAAACGCACGTCGATGACTTCGACGCGCGATATTCTTCCGTCCGTCATACCGGTTTCTGTTTTCGTTTCCGCCAGGAATGCGCCCAAATGTTTCCGACCGTCTGACGGGGCTTGAAGCACGAACTGGAGGAAGAGTATGTCCGAGTACGGCTCTCGCCTGGGGTATGGCTCCTCCTCGCTGCCTTTTCGGTGCCCTTCACGCAGCCTGATGATTAGATAAACCGCACGGGACAGGGGCACTGATATAGAGTCGACGACCAAACAAAAAAGAATTCCACCTCGAACGAGCAGAAGCGTCTGCTCTGACCAGATAGGGAAGGTCGTCGTCCGTCTGGATCTTGACAGCACCCACACAAACTTGGACAGTTTGCGTGTGTGTGTGCACCAAGAGTGAGAACACTTCAATTTTTCTTCTTTTAATTTACCGCTTAAAAAAAAAATAGAAGCAATTATGGTTGTGGAACATGTTTCGCATTTTGCGTCAACCAGATTTATTCTTAACATGGTGGTAAGCCCCGATTCCCAGCCACCTCAACCCCCCCCCCCCCCCCCCTTCCCCCTTCCCGAAAAAAAGTTTCTGGCCACCTGCTCCATCTGTGCGATATCCATCCTTAAAGTCATTTTTGAAATTGGTCGTTTTTTATCTTATATTGTTTACAAGGTGTTAGTTCCCGCATATGGCAAGTCCTATGTGGGTCATTCCATGTAAAACGTCCCAGACGTAGCGCTGACCCCTTCCGATTTCTTAAAAAAATGGTGAGCCTTTTGCCGCAATGTCCGTACACATGCCCTGAAATATTTTTGGCGAAAAAAATGTTTTGATGACGTGAGCGCGGTTTTAACTTTTAAAAACAGCGTGAACGAAGGCATTACTCATTAATTGATGAAAAATCAGATTTTTAGTGAAACACCCAACAATTTTTTTCTTAAACTTGCACGGCTTTCGTCTTACAATGTGGTTGGGCTTGTGAAGTTTTGTTTAACTTAAATATATATAAAAAAAACTTAATATTTTCGAAAATTTTAATATTTTTGTTTTTTTAATAAAATATCTAATTGCTCCCGGGACCTAATAGAACTTTGTACCAGCTACCCTGGAGGTATATAATCTATAAACAATTTTTAAAACCGCTCAATTAAATATCTCGCAGTAAACAAAAATTCTGAAGTTGCAAAAAAGTGAGTTTCGACGCATAAACAGCCGTTTATTTCACCTGGAAGTGGTTCAAGTAAAAATACAAAGTATGCTGGTTTTGGAAGAACAATCCATAATCTTTTGATTCTGAAAGTTTAATCAAAGTAATTTTTGTTTAAAGCGAGCAACAAATTTTTGAAGTTGAACTCTCGCACCACAACCCGGCGTCGCTTCTTAACGCCTCCTCGCCGCACAGCACGCCACCTGCGACGATAGCTGACATGATTAGGTCCGAAGAAAGAACGGAGTCTTCTGCCACTTCACCTTGTCCGTTTTTTGGCTGCAAGGGAAGAAACGGCGGGTATCGTGTAATAATCGGAGGTGTCGCCAGCGCGTAGCAGTAGCAGGCCCGTTGTGCCCTTTGTACCCGAGGGCGGCTCGAAACGCGATGCCTAAACGACGGGGACTTCATGCCATGCCAAAGGTCCCACGGCCAGCTCCGATTCCTAAAATAAAATTGATGGCTTTTCACCGTAACGTTTGTGGTGCCTCTCTAACATACATATATATATATACATATATATATATATATATATATTTTTTTTTTACGAAAAACAAATTTTATGAGGTGATGCGGTTTGAACTAGTAAAAGGGGGGTGGAACTATGAGTCATTCAATAATTGATGAAAAGTAAGATTTTTTAGGGAATACTGGAATATTTTTGCCTGAAAACCATACGGTATTTGGATTGCTATGTAATAGGATCATGGTCATGCAATTTGGTATGCGCGAAGCCGTTTTAAAAAATAAGGAATATGTGAGCATTTTAGCATATTTTTAGTTTTGTTACAAACTATGGCTTTGCTGCATGCGACAGTAAATACACTTATTGACAGCCCTGTAGGTATACTGTACAAAAAAAAAAAAGAAAAAAAAAGGTTTCAGGTCGTACAACTAAATAACTTGCAGAAAAAAAAATTTTGCCAAATTTCGTTTTGCAGTTTGAAGAGCCGTCATTCTGCCTTGAGGTGTCCAAAGAAAAATACGTAACATGGTGACTTCTACAAAAGAGTTTATTTACTTTTGTTCTTGAAAGTTTAATTAAAATAATTTTGTTCTAAAGAGGAAAAAAAAAAAACCTTTTGAAGTTGAACTTTTACGCCGCAACCTGGCGTCGTTCCTTGCGCCACTTCTCTGCACAGCGCGCCACCGTCGAGCCCGGCAAAGCGTGCGACGGTATCACGGTATGCGCACGCATGTAGAGAAGCAGGACCTCGAGTTGTCGGGTATATCTTGGTGGGAAGAGGCTTTTTTCTACTCTTGTTCCGTTATGGCTTTTCCTATTTTGACCGTTTTGCGCGGCTGTGTCCTCCTGTGGTCTTCCACTGTCTTGATATCACCAAATGCTTAGCGGAGCATTACTGATTTTCCCCTTTATGCATGGAGAATTAAGATACATGTACTTGCATTTTAGATTAGATATGTGTTATCTAATCAAGACGTATATGTTTCCAACACCAAAAACATCGCTTCTTCCTCCGACAACCAAATCTCGTACGGACTACTTCGCCCGGCGTATGAACAATGCGCAAAGCGTCCTTTCTTCTTGAGGTGAAAACTATGTATACTAAGCTAGCTGTTTCTTACGTACACATCGAATCTCTCTCTTCTCGACGTCAGGACAGATGTAGACAGCAACACAAAAGCCCCGTGAACGGGCAATCTCAAACGATGAGGCGATGTGGTGTTAGGGAATGCGCGTAGTTGGAGGCTCACGCCTCGTTTGTGTTTAAATCGGCTTTGAAACGGCAAATTCTTGCGTCGCTGAATAGTTCCGCTTTTCACCGCAGTATGCGTGACAGCTAGATTTCGCGGCGATATTATCGCGTTTCCCTTTTAGGAGAAGTCCACGTCAGCTGATGCCGCTCGTATTAGGCATCGCGTTTTGACTCTCGAGCCGTCCTTGGGTACAAAGGGCACAGCGGGCCTGCTATTGCCACGCGCTGGCGGCACCTCCGATTATCAACACGATACCCGCCGTTTCTTCCCTTGCAGCCGGAAAGACGGACAAGGGGAAGCGGCAGAAAACTCCGTTCTTTCTATCGTCGCAGGTGGCGTGCTGTGCGGCGAGGAGGCGTTAAATTGTGGTGCGAGAGTTCGACTTTAAAAATTGTTTTCTCGCTTTAAACAAAAATTACTTTGATTAAAGTTTCAGAATCAAAAGATTATCGATTGTTCTTCCAAACCCATCATATTGTCACGGGTGGTGACCAATAAACAAGAAATAAACAGGAATAAATAAACGTTTAATGTGGCGAACTTGTGCCAAAAATAAAAGAGTACAAAAGATAATAATAGAGCGTCGCGGGCGTCGAAGTCGGCGTGGCAGCAGAGTCGAACGCTGGGGCGAGACTGACTCGACAAGGTCGTGGGCGGCCTCTTATCTAGAGTGAGTCACTATCTCGAAGATTCGGCGGAGAAGGTTCGAGCGTAGCGCGCTCGGGGCGGGAATGAACAAGCACTTTCTAGAACAACAAAAACAAGGATGAACGATAGTTATGTCCGCTGCAAGAATGAACGAGAACTTTCTACAAGTCCGTGACCCTGCGCGCGGCATTATCCCCCCCTTGAAAAAGTGCATCGTCCCGATACAGCACAAAACGAAGAACAACAAACAAAAACAAATAAAAAAAAAGGCAGCAGAATCGCGGGCCGCAGTTCACAGTTCACAGTTCACCCGTCGACAAGAGTGGAAAGTTCTATCGTTCGTAATACGACTTCAGCCGGACGACGTGCACCACCTCGGGTCGCGGCTGACGTCTTGCAGATGGGCACGTTCCGTCGGGTAGAACTTCGTAGTTCAGATCGCCGAGTCGACGAAGCACTTTGTAGGGTCCAAAGTATCGTTTCAGCAATTTCTCACTGAGGCCGCGGCGACGGATGGGCGTCCATACCCACACCCTATCTCCAGGGTGGAAGTGGACGTCCCTGCGACGAAGGTTGTAGCGGCCGGCGTCGACGCGTTGCTGGTCTTGAATCAGGAGTCGGGCGAGCTGGCGAACTTCTTCGGCGCGTTGAGCAACCGCCTGGGCGTCATCGCTCTCGTTGTCAGATGGCTCACGGGCCGCATGGCGTCCAGCATGGTCGTTACCTTCCGACCATGTACTAGCTGGAAAGGGGTGAATCCAGTGGTCTCTTGAACCGCCGTATTGTAGGCGAACGTGACGTAGGGCAGCACCTCGTCCCACGTCTTGTGCTCTACGTCGACGTACATAGAGATCATATCGGCGATTGTCTTGTTGAGTCGCTCCGTCAGCCCGTTGGTCTGCGGGTGGTACGCAGTTGTACGACGATGGCTGGTGTGACTGAGTCGGAAGATTTCTTGGGTCAGTTGTGCCATGAACGATGGTCCGCGATCCGTAATCAGAACTTCTGGAGCGCCGTGCCGGAGGACGATGGACTCAATGAAAAACTTGGCAACTTCCACAGCAGTCCCCGAAGGAAGAGCTTTCGTTTCGGCGTACCGCGTGAGATAATCTGTGGCGACGATGATCCAGCGGTTCCCCGACGTCGAAGGCGGAAAAGGACCAAGTAGATCCATTCCGATCTGCTGGAAGGGTGCAGTTGGAGGAGAAATAGGCTGCAGGAGTCCGGCCGGCCTCGTCGGAGGTTTCTTGCGTCGCTGGCACTCGTGGCATGATCGTGTGTACAGGTGGACGGTCTTGGGGAGCTTGGGCCAGTAATACTTTTCACGAACACGGGCCAGTGTCCGGCTGTATCCAAGGTGTCCGGACGTCGGGTCGTCGTGACATGCTTGAAAGATCTCCCCTCGAAGGTCGGTCGGGATTACCAGCAGCAACGGCGAGTTGTTGTCCCCGAAGTTCTCTTTGTAGAGTACACCTTGTCGAATGGCGAAGGTCGGCACGGCTCGTGAGAAAACACGGGGTACGGTACCGCCGCGCCCTTCCAGGTGCTCGATTAAGGCTCGCAGCTCCGGATCGTCTCGTTGACGTCGTGCCATGTCATCGGTGTTCACTGCCCCTAGAAAG